ACCCAAGATTGTGTGAATTGGCTTGGTTCTACCTTCAGAAGATGAAGTGCTATGAAATTGGATATATTTCACAGTAGTGAAAGTGTGAAATGAGTAATGAAATAAAGCCTATTTTTTGCCATATATTTATTGTCAGAACCAGGTTTTGGAGTCCCATTGTCTGCTCTGCAATTTCGGCCACCTAGAGATGAGGTAATAACTAATAATATATTTTTTTTTCAAAGTATCTAATTAGATGAAGAAATCAATAATTGTTCATTTCTCCTCAAAGCTGGGCATCTACTGTCAGGAATGGAAGGTCTGGGGAGAAATGAGACTTGTGCTAAATGCTCAGCATTAAAGACAGGCAAATAGGTTACACCTCAGTCAGTAGCACGATAGCAGCTTTTTCGTGCTCTCTGGTTCCTGACATAAGATGAAGAAAATCATTAGCAGCTGCACCGCTCTGTGCAGTGGTTTAATTGCATGCAGCGCAAGACTGAGCTCTTAGTATGCTGAATTAGTTCACGGAGCGCTGATAATAGATGAGGGAAGGGAGGCTGACTCCCAGCTGAATAGTTCATTGCTGTGGCCCATGTTTTTAATCCACAAGAATAGGAGATTGCTGCCTTTAGTTACACTTTCAGTAGATGAATTACACATTTGGTGACAGCTCTCATTTGACATGTAATAATCAATACTTCCCTACTTACTCCCCAAAGGATGTAATAGCAGAGAGCTACCTGGAGGTCCAGAGGAGGAAAGAAGTCTGTCATCTTAGGCAAACCTTACAAGCATTCAATGCTGAGCAGCTTTAGCTGAATAACATTTTATTGTATTTTTTTTTCTGTCGATTTCCTGGATGCAGATTGATTGCAGACCTCTTAGCCCAGCCAGCGGGTTCTGCAGCTTTACCAGCCCTGTGAGCATGTAGGGAATCTCAGCATCTGGGGCAAGGAAGAGCAATTTTAGGAGAGCCCCACTGCACAGTCCATGTCCTAGGGATGTCAGAGTGCAATCAGATGCAGCCTCTTTGGAAGGAGCACAGTGGGGAGCAGGAGTGAGGCCTCAGTAAGTGCAAAACCCACCACAGTTTCAATGATGTGCTCCTTTTCCTTGCTTAGGTCATTACAATTACATCTCGGTTTGTGCTGATGCCTGTATGTTTACATGCAGCATGTGGTATTTTTGTAAATGCATTTTTCACTCAGTGCTGAATGCTTAAGTCCTTCCCAAGACTCTTGCAAACAGTGTCAAATTCTTAGAAACTGCAGCCTAACTTTTTTCTTTGGGCATATTCATTAGTCTGTGACAGCTACACACTTACTCAGCATTAGGAGTAGCAGCAGCAGTAGATAACCATTACTAGTGTGAAGTCTTACTGTTTTAAAGCACCCGGGTAATTAGCTATTTTCATCCTTGTTTGATTGCAGTTATACTCCAATATAAACATTCCTTAATGAACTTTGCAGCAAGTGAGGCTTTACTACTGTTGCATTAGGGCAGTTCCACATCTATGGGGTAACATTCTTCCCATGTTAGCAAAAATAAGTTTGAAGTAACATTGACTAGAGAAAGAGTTTGCTTTATTGTGCCTCTCAAATGAATGTGTGTCAAGGAATGTAAGTAAGTGGAAAAAGTCTGTCTGGAAGTAGGCAGCATGCTGTGGTGTATTGCGTTTCGCTGACATGAGAGGAATGTGGCAGGGAGGTCTACAGTTGCTGGCTGTAGGCGCTAGCGCTCAGACTGAGAAGCAGATTGGGATGTGCCTTTTGCTTCATTAAGCAAAAGGCTTTATGCCTCTGGCGTGAAATGCTATAAAACACAGTGGAAGTATTATATAGTATTTGTTATTAGGCAGGGCTGTCAATATTAAATATCCAAAATCACAAGTGATACAAAATAAAAATGTGTAAATATTTGGAATTAAAAGTTTATTAAATAAATTCCTTTTTGCTTCTCAAGATTTCTTTTTAAGTGAAAGCTGAGACCTTCACTGAAAAAGTTGAGATCCTCACCTTACTTCAGAGCTCCAAGACAGACAATAAATTTTACAAAACTAGTAAAAATGTGATAAAAGTTCTCAACAGTGAGGCAGGCATGCTCTGGAGAAGCTGTGCGACTGTGTAAGCTTTGTCACTGTAAATGGGAGCTAAAAGCCAGGGATGCAAAATGCAGGCCAAGCTCCTGGCACTTGCAGTTTGCTTACCTTTAACAAAGGTCCCTAACCGTGCTGGCTCACCTTACTGAGCAGCTGGCCAACAAAAACCCTCTCACCGGTCTAGAAAGGCTGTGCTGTGTGGGGGAGGCAGAGCAGAGCAGTTTGAAGACTTGCAGCCAGATCTGCACCCAAAGATCCCAGCAGATGGTGTAACCTCAGCAGCCTCCCTGAGATCCATCATGTGCGTGTTGCGGTCAGTAGTAGGACTCTATTTACAGGACCGAGCACGTAATGCTGAGGGATGCATTAATTTCCTTGTCTTGCCTGCATCTGCCAAAGAAATGTCAGCGTTGATTCTGCAGAAGTGAAAGGAGTGAGGAGTGGTGATGTCCAAGTTTTTCTCCTCGCTCTGCTGAAGCAGCGGGCTGCAGCTTTAGGATGTTGAACAACTGTACCGTTAGCAAGCGAGGGAGATGGAGCGTCCACGTTTCTGGGCACTTCTGCAGAACTGGAGAAGCAATGCCAGCACATGGACATTTTTAGGATCCTTTGTTCATTTTTCTTACTGACCTGCACTTCAGTCCCAAAGAAAACAAACTGCAGAGCCTGTAGGACTAAGAAGGAAGAGTTGCTGTAATTTATATAAAGTTTTTAATATAAAATTCAAGTTTGCTATTTTGAAAAGCTTGTGCTTCTGTACCTACGTGGGTTAGAAAGTTGGTAGGCAAGCTGTAGATCTGCTTTGTTCTGTCCAGTCTGAAGGCAGTTGAGATCTTTTTCTGCTTTGCAACGTGGAAGAAATGGCAAATCTTGTAATAACATTTCAGCACCACAAACACTTCTCCCTTGGCTCTCTGACACTTGGTGTTGGGCACTTGGACTGCCCATTCAGCATGCACGTGCCTCGCTCCCACCATTCAGCCCGTTCTTTCCTGCACAGCTCTCATTCAGATGAAAATCACCTTTCTCTCTAAACTCTCCGAGCAGCTATTTAACACTGCCATGCCTTGGGGACATTGTCAGGAGAATGTCAACTTTCTCTTAGGTCAACATTTAAACCACTATTGTCGTTGTTTTTTAAGAATTGTATTAGTTATACTGACGAATTCCAGTTCATCACCGCTGGTTCCAGTGGTCTGGAACCAGATGGTTCTGGCTCAGGGAGCTGTGACCACTGCACTCGGTGCTCTAGGCCATGGTGTTGCACTTCTGCACTCTTGGGTCTAGCAGTTCACCCAACGGTTCCATGTCATTGGAGCCCACTGAGGTCTGCGTGACATACCATTTGGTTTGTAAGGACCTACTCCACCCCCAGGAGAAATATTTATAGTCTGAAGCAATGCCTTGAAGCATTTTGCTACTGTCATATTGATGGGGGAAAAAAATGCACAGTTATAGAGAGGCTGTGTGTATTAATTATTTATCTTGCAATCAAGAAAGTATAAAAATAATCCAGGGTGAAAAATGGGGAGGGTTCTAAAGGAACACGCTGGTTCTTTCAGTTTGAATAATGCAGACCTCACTGAAGCTTTCTCTCCAGAACATGAGGTCTAATCACAGCACAAGTAAATAAATGCTTTTTCTCTGGAACTGACTTAAAAATCATGTAGCTCTTGAGAGAAGACTAATTGTGCTCACTTAACTTCAAGTGAATACATAAACTGTGAGGAGTTATTGTTTTCCTGGCTTCCCTGTAATCTTTCATATTTGTTATTTTTTAGATATTCAACTTCTAGACTTTTTAGCATCAGTCAAGCTCTGCTTCTATTGTCTGAAAAATAAATATGCAAAGGAAAAACTGCCACAGATTTTAATACCTTGTATTGTTACGGTGTAAGTACCATCGTTGTAATTAAACCGCTTGAACACAGAAACCAGTCAACTTCTTCTCTCAGGGACTCAGCCACCCAGGTGATTTTTGTGCCTTTGAAAATCTCCCCAGAGATCCAATGCACTCTGCTTCTCCTGAGTGTTCTTGAAATAAAATTAGCTTTTAGTCCTTTAAAATCTGTTGCTTTTATCTGCTACTAAATACATACAGAGTAAGCACTGCAGGATCAAAACAAAAATAAGTTATTCCTCCCACACTTGTAGTTTTGATGGGATTTTCAGTTTCACAAAAGTCAATAATCTGATTCTTTCTGTATTCGGGATCGTGGTGGATTGAGGTAGGTCCCTTTGGACTGGGTCAGGAACCTGCAAGGTGCCTGGAAATCAAAGCAGAGGGTGGGCAGAAAAAGGGCCTGAAAATGAGAGAGAAGGCACCAGAGGGGGCAAGTAGCCTGCTCTCATGTGCTGGGGCAGAACTAATGACCCCCATGTTGGTCCTTCCAGCAATTTGCCTAGCAAGCCTTGTGAAAGCCTCTGAGAACATAATTTATCACCTAGTGAGGGTCTGGGCAGATTTTTTTCCGATTAGAAATTTTCCTGATGACCAACCCGTTCCACTGTGCCCATGACTTTGTCCTTACCTTGTTGCCTCTGGCGGAGAGAGTAGGATGATGGCAGGTCAGGGAGGGGGAAGAAGGTGAGGGAAGTGCGCAGGTGTGTGAGAGGAAGGTCATGGGGATGAAAGGCCTGAACGGAGAGCCCTGGGAGGATGAGGAAGGGCAGAAAGTACTACTCATCCAGGCTCCTTGTCATCATGTTTCTCTCTACAGATGGGGTCGAATTTGTGATGTTTTTGAAATGTTTTAGATATTGAATAAGAGCAAAGTTTGGAAACTGAGCACAACCTCAGCTGTGGAGAAACCTGGATCTGCCTTTGGGTCCTATCTGCAAACCTGAAAAATGGTAATCCTTTGACATGTAAGCAAGATGTGAACATAATGCCTTTTTCCTGTCTTTTCTACCCTCACAGATGAACAGGAGCCAGCAGTCAGCAGTGATTCAGATATTTCACTGATTATGGCAATGGAGGTTGGACTCTCCGATGTGGAGCTTTCTACTGATCAAGACTGCGAAGAGGTGAAGTCTTGAAAAACAAACAGAGCTCCGACACTAAACTACAGGGGAGGGTCACAGGGAGGGACCGAGTCAGCTTCCTAGGATTTGGACCAGTCATGCACATGCCTCCAGAGCACTGTCACTCCTGCACACTCCATTCTGAGATGGTCACGAAAAGCAATAGCAACAGTTGTGTCTGCCTGGATGCAGTTCCGTCATCTTACATACGTTTGGTTTGTTCACATGGGAGATGAACACTTCCAGTTTACCCACGTGCTTGAGAGCAGTCATGTAACTCTTCATGGCTCATAAATACGCAACTGAAATGACAGCTTGAGTGTTTTCTACACTTGTTCGCTCGGGTTTTTGTTTCCTTTTTTTTTGGGGGGGGAAAGACGTACGTTTGTTACATTTGTTTGTTTATAGTTTGTTATGGATAGACACACCGTTTTTGTTGACTGACGCCCAGCTTTTTCAAGAGTTCGATCCAGAAACCTGAATTCCTGTTCACTGGTCACTTCGTGATCCAACTCCAGGATGTGTCATTGCCTGTTGCTTCTTCATGAAGTACACAGGGCTTCAGAAGGATGGTGCACCAGCACCCTGTAATAATGTGAAGCCTGCTTTCATTAAGTGGAGCCTTTGAAACTGTGTATTCTGAAGGCCTTTATCTGTAAGAGAGCTCTGAAATAACAAAGATTGCAGAGATTTGGTTTAAAACAGCATTATGTTGACTTTTACATAGAGCTCTATTTGAGACAAGTATGGTGCAGTGTGGAGGGAAGGAAAGAAAAGCATTAAGCTTCACCCTATGCTAGATGTATACTACCAGTAGCGGTCAGTACATTGACAGCCTTCCTTCAAGTTACAGGGCTACAGCAGGAAAAGATCTAGTGTAACATCGCATCTTTGCTTAACTTTGCAGACCAGATCTGCCCAGTAGATCAGATTCTGGAAGAGTGTCTGAGGGATTTCCAGAGGGTGCTTGTTAACAGCTGTGCGTTATGCAGACAAAAAAAATGTTCTTGGGGTCTGGAGATGCTGATATCAGTGTCAGAAGTTGTTGATGAAGCAGGAGGCAGCTGGATGAAATGTTTACTTACCGCTTTGTTTTTGTTTTTTTCTTTCTGCGTTTCTCTTTTTTTTTTTTTTTTTTTTTTTTTTAACTGCAGCTTTTGCCTGCTTGTTACCCAACACAAGAGTTCAGGTGGTTCATTGCCCTCCAGAGTCCCTGTTAACATTGCTGCAAGCATAACAGAATACTTGCAATTTATATAAGTATGTATACCAAAACATTTTGGGTAGGGAGGAAGGAATTTGTGAATAAGGAGAAGTAATGCAAATCAAAATGTCTAAATAATAATGACCTGTGATTATTATTAGTCCATACTGAATTATGCTTTCCAGGAAAAAAAGCTTTTTTTTACTTGTTCAACCTATGATTTCATTTTTCAAAATATTCAACTGTGAAAAAGCACTCTTAGCTAACTGTTTTACAAGAGTAAATGCTTTCTGTTGACAGTCAGATGATTTGAATCACATTACTGGCTCCTGAGTAGGTCAGCAGAATCAATGATTTGTCTTATATCGAAATTTCATGGAGAGGTCAAACATCTTCGCTTGAGTCACAGCAGCATCTCAAAATGCAACTGTTAGCATTCTTGCTATATTTAATCTTCCTTGTGGATTTATTCATTAGCTGTGGAAAACAGCTCCCACCCAAAATTAATTTTATCAGAGCTTATTCAGGAACAAATGCAGTTAGAACCATCCCTAACATTTTGGACAACTTGCATTTTTATTACAGGAAGAAGGAAGAATTATCCTCCATACTTTTGGTTCAGTTCATTTTATAGCTTGTTTTTTGTGATGTTCTTAGTCCCTAAATTGCGGGGTATGTTTGAGGCTTCAAAACCATGATCCAGACATGTGCTGTTACATTTTTATATGCCATTCAAAAGAACATCTCTTTTTAATTAAAGAGATGCAAGCAGCTGGAAATCTGTTGTAAAAAGGAAGTTAGAGACTGTTCCGGAGGGTGCGGCTGAGTCACTCTCGCCAATAGTTGTGGTTCTGTTATCACATTTTCCTTATTCTTTAATACCTCCTCTGTTCCCTGCCACTCTGGGAAAGGCCCACACTGTCAGGGGAACCGATGCTGAAATCTACCCCTTCACAAGAGTTCACACAAGGTACCAATCACATCAGCTCCACTTAAGCTCTGGAAGTAATGCTGAAGTAGGATTTAAGTGGTGCTTATACCTCATACTGGCCCTCCACATAGGAGGGAAATTCATTGAGAGTGACTTCAGGGGAAAGAGAAGCTGGTTATATACCCAGTCAGGGCTCCCTACGGAAAGAACACACACCGGCACAGTTTCTTCCCTAGCGCTGGAGCCTGGGTGCTACATGTCACAGGAACATCACGAACACGATGTCCAAGTTGTCAGTGATCCTCTAACATCTGCCTGCGGCACCCAGCATGCAAACAGAACTCCTGGCTGAGTCATTTGGGTTGCAGAGGACCTGTCACAAAGTCTTCATTTTATTTTACAAGCTGAATTAACTTAATGGACAAAATGACGGAGTCCCCCACAGCACAGCAGAGCAAGCGAGGTCTGCGTTTGCACAAGAGGCTGGAGTGAAAAAAAAAAAAAAAAAAGGAAAACAAAAAAAAGCAAGGCAGGAGGTGATGCTGAAGTGGGTCATTTGCAGGCAAAATCCATAAAGGGAGCTGTGCGCAACAGGACAGCACACAGACTGTAACTGCAACCCTCCCCATATCTCTAGAAGCTGGGAAAAGGTTTGGGGGAGGGATCACACTCTGCATGCTCTTTCTATAAGTATCCCATCCTAGACCTGGTCCTTAAGGGGCCAAGGCTGGCCAGGGACAGGGTGCTAGGCTGGGTGAGATGATTTTGTGCACCACCATATTATGGTCTTTCAGAAGAGTCATCCTAGCAAATCTGGGTCAGGAGACTTTCATCTTTTGTTTTCCAAATTCTGCAGTTTTGCTCAGGAAAGATGTTTCTGTCTCTCTCCTCAGGTGTTGTGTAGCTCTGAGTGCTGTTATGTGATAACAAGTGCAAGGCCAGGTTACACAGCACTGAGGGCAGAACTTAGAAAAGCACTTAAGTAAATGTTTTAATCCGTCCTTGTTCAGAAAAGCACTTAAGGCTAATGTTGGACTTGCTCTGAAATCACATTATTTTCAACAGGTCTTCTATAGCATACTTAAGACTGAGTCAAGTGGAAATGTTTTCCTAAAGCAGGTCCTGGCTCAAATGTCCTTTGTGTATATAACCTGTGAAATGCCTTGGCAATTTGAGGTGCTTCATGAATATTAAGACCCCAGAGGTATGTCTGTAACACATGTGAAAGCCTTAATTCTGCAGACCCTTGTGCCCATGCAGTTTTGCCTACGTGAATCCCTCCCCTGTGATTCCTCTTAGGGTAAAACTAAATCTCCTCATCAGCAGGTTTGGGCACGATCAGTCCCTTCCTGAACGTTTTGTGATTCCTCTGTACTGCTGCCCGCCACACCAGGGCTCTGGCATTAAATAGGTGGGATTCGGATGCTGTGGGCACAGCCCTGCCTGCTCAGAACAGAGAGCAGCCTTTAGCATGCAGCCAGGAGGAAAAAAAAAAAAAAGTGCTCAGGTGTGTAATTCTGCACACTCGTGCCGTGATGTGGATGGCTTTGCTTACAGCAGCCACTGCCTGACAGCACAGCTGGGATGGGGGGCGCCTCCTGCACGGGGCTGGTGGCCAGAAGGAAGCACAGCTCTGAGAAATGTTCTTGTCACTAGGCTCATTGTGTGTCTGTGTAAACTCTTCCTGTTCCTGTCACCTGAGGCTCTTTTCTCTTATTTCCCGTTGGTGAGCACAGTGCGGAAAAAGCGCCAGCTTGTCTTCACTCTGGCTGGGTTGCAGGAGGAAAGCTGGACAGGCAGAGCCTGAGTTCCCTTTGGTTTTCATGGGTTTCACTGAACTGCTTTCCCAAAGGCCCGTTCAATAGGTAGAAGACGTAAAAAGTTGCATGGGCAGAGTTTTGTGCTCAAAACCAATCTCATGTGTGCATGTTGATGTACAAGACACCAGTTCTGCTGCTTCCCTTCCTCAGCTCACCCATTCTGCTGCAGGCACAGGTCTGGCACTTGCTGAGAGTTCGAGGTTTGTTTTTTTCCCAACTGCATCAAAGCCTCAAAAACAGGACAGGGACAATGGTAGCATGCAGTTTGTTCTTAAAGCAGTCTATAGAATTAAAATTCCACATACACATATACAAGTACATTGATACAGCTATGGAAACTGCATTGTAGTGAAAACAGAAGCTGCTGCCATATTTAGAGTGTTTCCATATGTGAGAGAAGCTGGCAATAAAGAAAAAGGCTTTATAGAAGTAACTTGAAAAAAATACTGAGATCGTATACTATGAGAGGTCCCTAGGATCTCACTGCTTTAATTTAGTGACGTCTGGGTCAGGTCCAGAGAATGCTGTTGTAAGAAAGTCCATACCTTGTCTCTTGTTGAATGCCCAGTTTGTGATACCTCCTTACTTTGTTAACAAAATGAACCCAAGCACTGGAGACAGATCTAGCTCAGAATTCAATGTTTCACAAGGAATATGCATTTTGTGATCCGAAGTCTTTGTTGTTGCACCTGTTAATCCACCCTCTTTTCCCCTTTGCTAAATAAAAAGAAACGCTTGTCCAACATGAAAAATGTTGAGCTCAGAAGATGTTTGCATACAGAAGAATTGCCATGGCAGGTATCTGCAGATCACTTAACACCTCTACATGCTTTTAGTCATCAGTACACAGTGACAGATTTTCTGTAAAACATGTTACATTTCCCATTCTGGTTAAACCTGGAGTGCAGTCATCATATGAATTTTCCATTTTTTTGCCTTACAAACTTTTTCCTTTGAATGTATGCTGCAGCCCCTTGAGGGGATTCAGTGCTTAACGGGCAAAGATGAGGGCACGAGCCTTCGTGGATAATCTCCAGGCTGCAAGCCCTTGTTGTGACAATTGGTCTGTACTGAAACAACAACACAGGTTATGCTCAGTAGCGGGAGATGCCTTTCAGCCTGGGCAGCGGGCAGCTCCTAGGTTGTGTTTGTAAGAGGCTTGTTCCTTCCTGGTCATTGTCCATAGAAAGCTGATGAGCATAGAGTGTGAAATAAGCCAGGAGTGCGAGTTTACAGTCTGTGCAAACCAAGAAAACTGATAGTCATTTATGGCCTTCTAATTCACTAGCAATAATGGAGATTTTTTATTTTTTTTAACCCATTGTTCTTGTAGAGCCCGCTTGTAGGTTGAAAGGTTGAATGTTACTGGTCTGCTAAAGCTGTGGGCCAGGATGAGTCCAAACAGAAGCAGGAGGACGTGGTTTGCTCTTGCGATGCATCTGTTTTGCAGGACTGAAGCAGCAGAGAAAAGCAGCCTGTTTCTTGCCAGCCCCAGGCACGAAGGATTGTGCTAACGTGAGCCTTGGCAGCAGGGAGGGGAAACAGTGGGATCAAACTAAGGCTGTGCAGATCCTACCCTCGCCCCTCTCTGGTAACTTCACACTGACCTCGCGTAGCGCCCAGCCGGAGGGAGGCAGCTGCAGTGCAGAGGATCAGCGCCTTTGGGTGCACCCTGTGCATCATCCTGGTAGCATAGAAGGGCTCACGGATAAATGTCCTGCAGTACGGCTCAGCGTGGGGGCTGAGGAAGAGGCAGGCCCTGGGCTTCGGGCAGATTCAGGGGAACCCAACCACTTCATAAGCAGGGCTGCTGCTTCACTGAGGAGCACTGAGTGCAAACAGGCTCGTTTGGTTTACAGATGCAGTGTTTGAGCGTATATGGGGCAACCGGTCTGACAGATAGAAATCAATTCAGTTCAAGCAGCAGCAAACACCAACATAAGGAAATATTTTAGGAGAAAGGGAAAATGAGGGTGGAGGTGTTTTAGCAGACTTTTTGAATAGGGACAATTGATCCAAGACAAGCAGTCCTTTCCTTCAGACAAGCCCTTACCTGAACTAATTGATAGCTCCGCAGCTGGCAGGGGAGCCAGGTGGGCTTGCGGCTGCGGGTGCAGCAGCTGGGGGCGCCGAGCGAGGGCCAAGGGTGCCCTCTGCTGCGCAGCTGCCACCCACCAGGCAGGAGCAGCTCCCAGCGCTTTATCTTCCCTGGCACTTCTGTTCTGTGGAGAAAAAAATAAAATAAAATAAAAATAAATAAATAAAAGCTTTCTGAGCACAAGCTGTATTTCAAAGAGAGAAACAGAGGAGATGAGAGGAATGAAAGGCGTTGTGGAGTTTGAATGGAAAGTCAACGGATGAGTTTTCCATCTGAAATTAATCTTGCCCCTCCCAACTATTTTAATTGTGAATTGGTGGAAGTTTGTTCTTTCTGGAGTGAATGCCGAAAAAAAAAGACAAAAAGAAGAAACAGAATTTTCCCTTTTTATTTCCTGATTTTTCAGTCCTATGTAGTGTTAAAAATAACAAGATCAAGGCGCTTGGTTGCTCTGAATGTATACGGTTATTATAGATGTCAATATCTAAATGTTTTGTATGTACGTAATACCACCCTCACTTCTTGTTTCATGTTTAGGAACCTGAAATGACTGTACCATTTTGTAACTAGAAATGTAAAGAGGGGATGGGGTGGGAGGGTCTGTTATTTTTATAGCAAGATGTTCCTTGTATTTAGCGAGCATTTAAAATGGTTTTGTACTTGTCCAAATATACATTCCATCCATTTCCAGAAGAGAATTATTTTTATTTAGAGTAGTTTATAAGCAAACCAAAAAAAATAATAAAATAAAATACAATGTCCCATTTGTACACAGTTCATGAACATAGCAGAAATATTCTGTTTTCCAGTGATGGCTCCAAAGTTTTTCCAACAATGTCTTCTCTCACACACTGCACAGCCATACCAGCAAATGCCAATATTAAAAAGGGAAGGAAAAAAAAAAAAAAAAAAAGAACAAAATAAATACCATATGCATCAGCATACAGCTTACCAAAATAATTTCCAGTTAGGAGACAATGTTCTGTATCAGTGAAATTCTCCCAGGCTGCTGTCGGTCCAGTTGCGGACACTGGGAGCGGCTCTGCTTCAGCCCTGCCCCTGCCCAGCGGGGCTGATAGCCCGAGGAAGCTGGGGGGACGTGGCAGGGTTGTTGCACACATGCACGCACACACACACACGTGTGAACTCACTGGCACGCCGCATCTTCTGTTGTCTGCAGGTCCGTCAGGACCAGGGCCTGTTCTTGGCTGAAGCTCTTGCTGGTACTGCCGGCGCTTTCTGTAGCCTGACCGTGTTGTGCTGTTTGTGACGGTGGGAACTACCCTTCAGCTCCACGAATAAAATAAAGTTCCTTTCTTCAGGTTGCTACACTTTGGTGTAGGAAACACCTAGAGAAAGACCAGGGCAAAATCATACTGTAGCATTTGCATAGGCAGTTCTTTTCCTTAGCTTTTTTTTTTTCCTGCTACCTGTGAATTTGCTGCCAAAACAGAGCAGTAGCAGTTTGTGAAGCAAGCCTTTTTTTCTGTACAGCATTGCACATATAGTTTAACTCTTTGCTGATACTTTGTAATGTGTACATCTTCCCTTTCAATGCACTTTATCTCTTGAAAAATGTGGGAGTCAGAGAGCTACCACCTTAAAGGGATTTGCCTGAAATCATGGGGCACACACTTTTTTTTTTCATCTTGCTTTGTTATATACTGTAAATGCTAAAGAGCATGGACAGTGACTCAGCTGGGGGAAGTACCAAAATGTTAAGGCTAATATTTGAAGCGTTATTCAGTAGTACAACACGGCTATTTTTGTTATATAGAAGATTATAATGTAAATATGTGAGACTGTGTTATTATGTACTAGTAAAATATTGCAACTATCAAAGTTAAGATTGTGAATTCTGAGGAATTTTATTGCAAGTTTTTTAATAAAACGAATCTGATTACTGTGTCATACGTATTTTCTAACAGACAGTAAAGCTGGCATTTCCTGATGCGTCAAAGTCACTGATTGTTTCTCACTGAACATGGCTGCTGCTGCCTTTGGCACCGATGCAAAGCAGAAGCTCCGGCCAGGAGGGACCCAAGCTGCAGCCTGGCCTCCAGCCGCAGCTGCTGCCCTCGCTCTCCCCGTCCTTCAGCTGCTTTTGGTCAGAAAGCAGTGGCTGTGCGGGAGGTGAGCACCTCCGCATCCTGGAGGAAGAGCTGGGGTCACCCTTGGCCCTGGGCAGCATGTGCTACAATAGCTTTAAGGTGCGACGGCTCTGCCGTGCCACAGAAAGCATCGAACAGCCCGTGCAAGGAGTCATCTGGCTGCTCTTCCCTGTCCCACTCGTCCCCAAAGGTGTCCCCTGGGCTGGGGGCAGAGGGCAGTTTGAGGTATCACCAGCCCAGGATCCCGGTCTGTGCTTTTCTCCCTATGACCACGTAGTTGCCGGGCGGCCACAGGAGGGAGCAGGCCCGGTTCCCTCGGCAGGCAGCGGAGCGAGTTGCTGTGGGATCTGCACACACAACGCAGCTGCTGCCAGTGCTGCAGATCGTGTGGGCACAGCGTGCTCGGGTATCGCAGCAGAAGTAACCCAGTGCGCGGCTGCTCAGAATGGCAGCAGGGCTATAAATAACGAGGAGTGTGCGGCAATTAATTCCAGGATGCAGGCACATACTTACGGCTGGGGTGACATCACTCTTCGCCACTGCGTATGGGCTCCGTCTCTAGTCAAAGTGCAGCAATAAAGCTATGCTGCTCTGTGCTTTTTTTTTTTTTTTTTTTTCCTCCAAAGTCAAATTGTTTTCGCTCCTGTGATTGCAGGAGGTGACCTTCAGACCTGTCACAGCCAGTGGAGAGGACGCAGGACTCAAAAGAAATTATCCAGATTTGTACTGTGCCAGCCAACCCAGGGTCCCTCCTGTCCCGTGATACCCAAAATGTGCTAGGAAAGCAAGCACGCTTTGTGCTGCACATCTGAGGGTGCCCTAAGGGACGCTGCATTTCCTGCACCGAGTCTTGGGGACTCCCAGGAAAACAGCTCCGAGAAAGCAGCAATGCCACATGGGGTGAGCAGGTCTGGGGGAGGCCCATGGGGAATAAGAGGATTTACGGTCCAAAAGAAATCAGATGGGTTGGTGCATTCATATCTACCATAGATCAGCCACAAGAAGCCAGTGCTCAGTCAGGGAGGGTGCAATTTTGCAGCACACTCGTTCCTCAGCCTCTGCGCCCCACGCAAAATGAGCAAGCCCTGGCCACAGCTGAATCAGGGGACACATCACCGCCCTCACGTGCCTGGGCCACCCGGTGCTGCAGGCCACCACGCTCCTCTGGCCATGCTGCTGGATGGACGTCTGCCCCTCAGCACCCTGCCTTTACAGTCCGGCCTGCCCCCTGACAGGTCGCAAGGAGAGGCTTGTGCAGGGAGGCCGGCAGCGGCAGCTGAAGCCCAGGCAGCTGTCCTCCTGCTCTAGCTAGGAGCATGGTAGCTCCTGGCAGAGATACAGAGCAGACAGCTGGGAGTGGTAACGCCTCAGACGTGTTGGCCGAGCCCCAGAGCTCGTCTGTCAGAGCCCAGAGCTCAGGCGAGGTTGTTCCCCTGCCCTGCTTGGGGCAGCCGTGCTGGCTCTGGCCCACAGCCCTGGCCTGCATCTGATTCTGAGCAGACGCCCATGAAGGCACAGCACCAAAGCAGTCGCCCCCTCTGAGTTGCTCCTGGCTTTCCAGACATCCTGCACGTCCCAGCTGCAGGGGCCAGGCTCGCTCAGTCATGTTTTGTGTGGACAGGACACGGGCACATCCTCGCCACTTTTCTCCAAGCCCCGTGGGCCCCTCTGGAATTGCGTGGCGTGGCCAGAAAGAGGAAGGCTCGGGGTGCAGGCACAGCAGTGCCCAGGGCTGCAGTGTACGCGGGCTGGGGGCAAGGCCTGTGGTATTTGATGTTTCCTGCAAGCCCTCAGCTTCTGGAGGCAGAGGGAAGGCAGCGCCGTGTGGGGCTGCAGCCTTAGCGACTGAGAAGTGCTGAAAAAATTGGGTGGTAAAAGTCCCAACCACATCAGGCCTCGCTCAGCCCTGTTCTCTCTGCGAGGAGCTCCTCACACAGGCACGTCCCCGTCCCTGCGAAACAGGAGTGCTCTTCCCCAACAGGAGGCTCCCTCGCCCTGCAAATGCATCTCCCAGCCCCGCACACCGTGTGCCGAGCCGCAGCCATCGCCTCGGCCACAGTCCGGTGGTGGCGGTGGGTCTCTGTGCCCCTGTCCGCTGGGACTCCGGTGGGCTTTTCCCCAAATCAGCAGCCCAGCCTGGCTGCCTGCATGCAGAAAATGCCACCTTTTGACTAGGCTTTAACCAAGGAGTGTTTAAGAAGCAAATCGGTTGAACTTCTGTGGGTGCACACACTCGTATCCATGTAGGAGCGGGTTATTTTGGCGTGGCTTCGGTTGACAGAGGCTCACAAGAATTGCCCGGGCTGCCCCGTACAGGGAATCCCACTCAGACCTGAGCGGGGAAAAACCCATATCCAAGCGTGGTGCACTTTGTGGGGGCCCATGTCTCACATCCCACTCCAGCCCCATATCAGAAGCCCTGGGCTGTATGCAGACACCTTCACCTGGGCACAACCCAGCCAAAATTCAGGCGCACATCAGTGTCACCTTCACCCAGCATCTGCCCCATGCTCAGGCCAAGATTCAAGCCCACAAGGTAAAACACAAGCTGTCAGCACAGCCTCAGCACATGGAGTACTTCATTGTACCTCTGGTGTCCTGTTCTCAGTGTGGCTTGGGTCTCAGAGCCAGAAAAATACCCAAAAATGGAAGAGAAAAATCACACAAGAATGTGTTATTTTGATGAGGGTGGTGGTTTGGGATTTTTTATTTGTGTGTAATAATTGCCCCAAAGGCATAGAGAAGGGGGATTTTCTTATGGAGGACTGACGCTGAATTTCACAGCCTTTCAGCTAGAAAAGTGCTCTGAAACAGCTCATCAGCACTGGGAAAAAAAAAAAAAAAAAGAAAAAAAAAAACATTTCTCCTTGCCTGCACTCAGTGGGGTCCTAAACAGAAGCAGCTGGCAGGGCTCCCCGGTGCAGGTGCATGCGAGGCATCGTTAGCAATGGCCAGCACGGGTCAGCTGTGCTGCTGGGCTGTGCAGAGGGGGAAGGCCAGCGTGCTGGGAAGGCGTCTGCAGGACCTGTGGGCTGAAGGTATAAAGCAGCCCTAGTGATACTGCAGAAGGAATTTTCTTGTTGTAGGGGCTCCTTTTGCCTCTGTTCTGGGGGAAGACAAGGGCTCAGCGCAGCACCAGGGAGAGGTTCTCTGGGATGACAATGAAGGATTCGCTTGTGCTTTGGCTGGTAGGAAGCTGGGCTTTTTTTTCCTTGGTAGGCTGTCACCTGTTGGAGCAATCAGCCCAAGTTGCTCTTTGTGTGCTTCTGGTGTGGTGCTACCTAGTGCCCTTGGCCTCGCCTGGGCTCAAGGCATGCTACTTACTAAAATGTGACTTTTATACCCAAATACCTGGGGGTGGGAACTCCCTGCTGGCTGCCTTGTCCCTGGGAGCCCCTGCAGAGGAAGGGTCCTGGGGCGCAGGTGTGAGAGCCAGGACACTGCTTGTCATGGGGATAGCAGTATTATAAGGCCCTGAGGATGTCAAATCCACCTCAATTTGTGGTCTGTAGGACCTTAGGCAAACATATTATTGCTGCTTGTTCACTCAAGAGAAGCTGTCACTGACTGAGAGCATCCTCAGATGAGGGGCACATAAGCAGTAAATTGCCTGGTGTTTTGATAGCTATTGCTTGAGCTTTGCACGCCTGTTTTGTCAGGCTTCATAAGTGGTGAAGCAGCTCCATCTGACCGTGAGAGATTCTCTCTTTGTGCTGGAGATAATTTTATGCAGCTGTGAGATCATCTCCCTGGAGAGTAGGTCTGGCCAGCAAAGGAGCAAATCCACGCTACTGCATCTCGCTCCTCATGTGTCTGAGAGGTTAAGCAGAGCAATTCAGAACTGCACTTGGCCGTCTCCAGGATGTGAAGTCTGACTTTGCACAAAAGGCACATTAAATGCAAACCGTGTGGTGTGTAAATATAATTTTTTTTCTTTCTAGCAATACGGTGTCAGCGTGCTCTTGTCAGCCCTTGATTGTAATACCAGAAACCTTCCTAAGTACTGTTATTCTTGCTGTTATTAGGTTATATTATCTTTTCTGTCCATTCTCTTCTTTGGATGGAAATAGAGATTAGCCTTGCTCTTTAGATTTTGTAAAGCTTGCTGGTAGCCAGGGACTTGAATGTTTTTCTTTTGCAGTAAATACGGTCATTCTGGTTTCTCCTTTCTCCCTCACTTTGTTGCATCCTTTGTAAGGTTCATGGTCCTCTGCTGCCAAATAGGACATGCACAAACTGTAGTTCAGAGCTTGTATGAAGGTTGTTCAAGCTCAAACAGCATTCCTGCTTCCGTTTAACCTTTTTCAGGAAGGTGACATTGACCTTCATTTTCTTTTTACTTTTTTTTTTATAAGGAAAAAAAAAGCTCCCTTTGCAAGGCCAAATGTAAAAATACTTATTTTTTTATAAAGATCTTTGCTACTGAGCTTGCTGGAGGAGGATGCAGTGCTGTGCATACTGTATGTGGCTTTGGGGGCTTGTGTGATTTTTTTTTATGGAAACCAGTGGAGCTGGGAATCTGGGAATTAATGACCTGGGGCCACTTGTGTGAGCTGGGATGGGGTTGGTGAAGGAATTTTCTGCTTGTCTCCTCTGCCACAAGCCTCATTCAAACCTGTCCAACAGGGCTTGTCAGGCACTGTGTGGGCCTCCCAAAGCCTTTCCCAGTCCCTTTTAGTCTGCTGGGAGCAGCCATCTGAAAGCACTTCAGGTGGTACATCAAACCTGAGGGCAGGAGCCCTCTCTGCCTGTCCCTCTGAGGTCTCCTATCGGAGAGCTTGCAGCAGGTCAC